TACCTCCCCGGACGAAATTTTTCCCTGCGGCAAAGCCTCGTCCGTGTTCCTCTCTGCCGAGGCAGAGAGTTGGACAGTTGAACAATCTATTCGACTATTTTATTTAACAGAGCCCCCCTAAGGAATGTATGTGGCACAAGGCCGAGTTTAACGTGGGTTTCTCCGAGTGCGTAGTCTCGGCCAAAAAATATTCCCTTTGAACCCGCCTAGACGGGTTCAGGGCCTGTCTACCTCTGCGGACGAAACTTTGCCCTGCGGCAAAGTTTCGTCCGGGTTCCTCTCTTTAACGTGGGTTTCTCCGAGTGCGTAGGCTCGGACAAAATATTCCCTTTGAACCCCCCTAGACGGGTTTAGGGCCTGTCTATCTCACCGGACGAAACTTTGCCCCGCGGCAAAGCTTCGTCCGGGTTCCTCTCTTTAACGTGGGTTTCTACGAGTGCGTAGGCTCGGCCAAAATATTCCCTTTGAACCCACCTAGACAGGTATAGGCGCTGTCTACCTCCCCGGACGAAACTTTGCCCTGTGAAGAGGAAGAGTTCATTCTACTGTAGGAGGGTTTACCACAACATATACTAATTTGCATTAACAATGAATTTTAAAAAAACATTCAAGAACATGATTTACTCACTTTCGTTTATTAGACACTGAATTGTGTCACATAGCTTCTCCCATAGATTACCTGATTTTTTGGTTCACCTAATGAATATTCATGAACGTTTCTTAAATTTAAAAATTTGTAAACACCGATAACATTTTTTGCTGGCGTATGTAAATACTTGTTAGAAAATAAAATTCATGCCATGATAAAGTCCTTCGGAGGTTGTAATTGTCGGTTAAGATAAGTTTTACTTTTGATTTCTTCATATTGTCTTTTTACAGATAAACTCTGTTTGAAATTTTACACATCTAAGTACAGTAATTTTATTTATTTAGGTCGATCGAGCTCTGGCAAGTGAGGAACAATAATCGGCTTGTTCATTCTTTCTTTTTCTTGTCACCTAAACAATTTTGTTTCTCCTATTTTCATACCAAATACTGGTTTTCTCTTTTCTTGGCCTTTTTTTTTAAATTCATGTCCGTTTTTATCGATGTGATAATATTTTGCAGCCTTAATCCATCAGTCAGTTGTGTGCCATGCGTGATACACAGTTAAGCGATCATGTATCTTTCGATACATGACTGACGAGGCAGATGTTTTCCCCCAGTAGGTTTCCATTTCTTTTTGCTGTAGACCAGTTGCTATCCAAGACTATAGAACCTTGTCTGTTCTGCTATTTACTCATAGGTGGAGGGAGAAGAGGTTCCTACCTTTCTCAACGGTATTAGCACGCAAGTGAATGTAATGGATTCGACTGGAATTCGAATTCGGCTCTGATTCCTCAGCTTCTATTAATTAATCCTCACCGGGACTTTAATAAGATTTTCAAATATCCATCTGGTTTCACTAATTCCAGCTTATATATACGAGTTCATGAGTATAAGCAAATACACACAGATATATATATATATATATATATATATATATATATATATATATATATATATATATATTTTCTTCTTACGCATGCTCAATCGCAACATCTCAATACAAACAAACGAAAATGTCTATCCCCGAAACAAATGAATGCTTAAAAACCCATATATGACAAACTAATATTTACATTCTGTCTATATTCGGCCGTTGTACGCTCCGGCCTTCTTCAGGTGGTTGGAATTTCGTGTCATGTGTCCTCAAGGATATATGGCACAGTGGATAAAGGCGTTGGTTAGATGCAGTGACAGACCCAAAGAAGGTGAGTTCAATACCTGGTTAAGGCAGTGGAGAACTTTCAGAGGGAAAATTAGCAGGAGATAACTGATAACTGACATCCATCAAACATGGCACGTGGAACTAGAACAGTCTACCCCAGTGATCAAAATAAAGGGTTCAGTTCGACATTCCAACCACCTGAAGAAGACCGGAGCGTACAACGGCCGAAACGTTGTGACAAATATGGCGACAAAGATGAGGACAATAGTCCGACTAATGTAAATACTGTAATATTTAAATATTGTCGAACAAAATCAATGCTTCAAACTCGAAGATAAATGAATAAAATTTACCTCAAATCCAACTCAATTGAAATGTATTTTTTAAATGATTGATTTCGACACTACAAAATTCATCAAGATTTTGGCATGTCATAAAATCAACTACCCAACGAAACCAGTACTAAATTCACATCACCGGTGTTAATTTGCCACACGTTCTTTGCCCATCAGTGAATTAAGTGCCAGACGAGATACAAGATTAGGCGAACATGTCTATTTCGATTCATGGCTGACTAGGCAGAAGATATTCCCGCAGTGTGTTGCCGTTTCTTTCTGCAGTAGGCTGACTGACACCCTACTATTCAGCCCACAGCTGAGGCGAGAAAAGATGAATTCATACCTTTCCCAAGGGTATTAGCGCGAAAAGTGAATGTAACAAATTCGACTAGAATCCAAGCTCGGCTCCCCGACTTTCGAGGCGTTATTCATTACCCGACACCACATGCATCCAATACTGAAGCAGTTTAGCCATTTTACGAAAGCTTTCAGAGGCGGGTTATATATAAAATGCGTAGATTAGATTCAGCACAAGTGGGGTT